TGAAAAGCCATACGTAGTTTGTGAAAGCATTTAATTGCAGTCAACTCTTTGGAACTGAATACATCCTTCTCTCTTCTGTAGCCCTTTTTCTGGAAGGAGGTTTAAAAATATTTGGCCCATGTCTCTTAGGGCCAAAGATGATGATTTTTTCCTAATGAAGTGTTGGAAACATTCCACTGTTTAGTTAAAGAACATTTACCATTTCTCTTAATTAAAGTTTTAGTAGAGGTGATATGGAGAACATTTGGAAACTGCATAAAAGTACAAAGGAAGAATAATCCTCAGATCACTAATTTCTCTCATTGTCTCTTGGCTGCAACACTAGGTAATTTCAAAGTATTGTCATCCTGTGATAATTTTTTGCTCTGGTATCTATTTTCTTACATTTTTCATTAGCCATTGCTTGGTTCTTTTACATTATGACTGATTATAATATGCTTTCTTGGTTTATTTTATCTTTATAGTGAGATCTTAAGGATGACTATATATCTTTTTCCTATTCATTATTTTATTCAACATATATTTATTCACACCTACTATGTGTGAAACACTATGTGGGAATATATGAGTCAATGGGCAAAGCTTGTGCCCTAATGAAAATTACTAGAAATAAAGTGCTTGAATTTGGGGTGTCAACACACCAGATTAGGAGCCATGCTTAATTCATTTTTCTGTCTATAATCTATTTCCTTCTTCATCCACATTAGATGCTGGATGGATACTTACATGCTGTGAATATATAACGACTATGGAATAATTAGTTATTTATCTCTTACCTACACTGTCATATTCCTAATAGTTCAGGTTGGATAAATAGAATTTTGCTTACCTTATGGTCAAGTTCTGTACTAAAATGTAACATCATTTGTATCATGTCTATCAGTTACCAGCTGTTACTACAATGTCTCAGTCTTCTAGCAAAGCCAAAGTAAAGCAATACATATGCACTATTTGAAAAGAAGGAAGATATTGGTGTTATTTAGATGGCGTTCTTATGGTATTGAGCTGTTCATTGAGAGATAAAAATATTTAGTAACCAAAGATATTTAGTTACTAAAAACACTTAGTAACCCGGATATCTAAAATGTGGTTTTGCTTTTCTAAAAAATGGCCTTTAATTTCCAAATATCTTTTGAATATTTTTAATGCATAATTAATTATATAGCTCCAAGAAAGCAAAGAAAAAGATATAAAATACAGCAAAAGAATAAGTTCACAAGTATTAGACACAGTCCATGGTTAAAAAATCTTGCAATATTACACATGGAAAGATAATTACACACACACGTATAAAATGTATCTGGAGCTTCTCTCCTCTCATCACCTGACGAAGTCAGTTTTTCCTGTCACATCTCAAATTAAACATCACTTTCTTCGGTAGAAGTTCCCTCAACCTGTTCACCAAGTCCTTTCTTTTTTCCATCAGGTTCTTCTTTATAGTTTTTTTTTTTAATGACATTCTTCATTTTTTCTGTACAGCACTCATTATATTTATAATTACATCGAACTTGGAAATATTTAGTGTTTGTCTTCTTGCTAGAGACAATAGCCAAAAAAGGCCCCACACATCAACAAAGTGTCTGGCAGAGAGTACCAACCATGAGTGGTTATTGCATGTAGTAAGTCTGATAGAGAAAAGACGATGACAGGGAAAAGAAGAGAGAAAAAACAGTGTGGTGGGAATTTAATGGGAAGTGAAAACAGATCGAAGGTGGGACCTCATAAAAGGTCCTATGTAAACTTCGGAGTGGACCTTTGAGGATGTGTATGAGTGCCGAATGGGAAGCTTCAGAGACACAGGTCGAGGGGGTGGTGCTGAAAAGATAGATGGGTGGGGGCAGGAGTAACCGGGGGCCAATGTAACTAACCATCAGGCACCATAAGCACTGTGCCCAGAGCCCGTAATACTTTCAAGGGCCGACAGAATATTTTAAATTTTGGTTTTTGATCAGAAGAAAAGAAAATTACAATAATACATTATAATGGATCCAATGTATGCCAATGTAAGCATAAAATGTAATTTTCATTTAATTTTTTTAAATAGAGGGCAGGTCCCAAGAAGGCAAAGTTGCCAGGGCCCATGAAAGTCATAAAGCAGCCCTGGGATGAAACTAGTTCTGCAGCAGATCGCATTTTTGGCTGGAGTGTAGAAAAGGAGCAGATCTAAGGCTGCAGAGGCAGGCTGGTCTCAGGTCAGCGAGAGACCAAACATCAGGCTGGGGAGGGTCTTCAGGCTTTGGTTTACCTCCTGGAAACTGTGTGTCAACTTTTGTCACAGAAGGGCTCCAGGAAGAGAATCCTTGCAACAAAGAATAAGATGGGTTGTTTTTAAGAGTAGGGGAACTAATTAGGGACTGTGTTGCATTTGTTTTAATGAGGGTTATATAGGAGATTACAGTAGGAAGAGACAGAGGGATGGGTGTTAGAATCATTCTGGTATATATTTACCCAAGAGTTTTAGATCATACTCATAGAAGCTGCCTTTTCCTGGAAGAAAACTCTCAAAGTCTTGCATTCCCTCTGATTATATAAGATCCATGTAAGAAGCTACTAGGTCAATCTTACTGATATGAAGTCTGTCTGGAAAAAGTCCAACCATTGTTAATATAAAGAGAACAGTTTGCATGACATTGATATAACCTGTCAGCCATGGAGACCGAGTGCACTGGAGTGGGCATGTGTGAACAATGACGACTTCGCTGTACTAGTCAGTGAGGATAGTAGACACCACTCAGTGAGCATGTGTACTGTGTGGCTTCACACCCAAAATGTCTGAGTGAGAAGAGCAACAAATCTGCATCATATTTTCCATTAAGCTTGAACATTCCCCTGCAGAAACTATTTGGATGACTCAGAAGGCCACAGCAAGAGAAATTGTGATTGGCAGCCCCATCATGACACTGCCCACTCATGCATCTCATCTTATTCAGAGATTTGTTGGCAGAACGTCAAATCATCCAGGTCATTCCACACCGCTATAACCCAAGATTTGGTGCCCTGTGACTTCTAGCTTTTCCCAAAAGTAAAATCACCTTTGAAAGGGAAGATATTTCAGGCCATGGATGAGATTCAGAAAAATATGATGGGGCATCTGATGTGATTGGGAGATCGGTATGAGGTCCCAAGGTACCTACTTGGAAGAGGACTGAGGTGTCATTGTTCTGTGTACAATACTTCTTGTATTTTGTATCCTCTTCAATAAATATTTCTATTTTTCATATTACATAGCTAGATACTTTCTGGAAAGACCTCACATATCCTCAAGGCATTAACTACAGAGGTAATAGAGAAAAATAGAGTTAGACACATAAAAACATTGAAACTATTTTAACTAGAACTAGATGTTTTTATTTATTTTTATTCATTTATTTTTTATTTTTAGAGAGACGGGAAAGGAGGGAGGAAGAGAGGAAGAGAAAGATTGATAGGTTGCCTCTCGCACGTAGCGCAACCAGGGAGTGGGTCCACATCCCAGGCGGGTGCCCTAATAGAGAATCAAACTGCCAACCTTTTGCTTTGCAGAGCGATGCTCAACCAACTGGGCCACACTGGTGAGAGCTACAGCTAGATCTTGACCAAGCCATCCTAATCATTGAAGCAAAAGCCCAAAACCTAAGTATGTGACAGATGCCTTCCAAATGACCCATGGTTCAATTATTCTGCACATGAAAACAGAAGTAACAACATATACATTCATTGTAACCTGTTTTAATGTGACTTTTAAATGATTCTTAATAGTGTTCTAAATCGGAAAATCTCTGCCTATGATTTAAAACTAAATATATATTTATAGGCATAACTCATGTTTATATGTAGCATTAAGTCATCTATGGAGGACTGTACAATGATATAAAACCAGATGATATGCATTGAGTACAGTTGTGTTGTATGTAGCTATGTTAGCATTCCCACTTCGTAACCGGTACACTTAGGGCATCCTGAGCCTGGTGCTAGAATGCGGGGTGAGTATAGCACACCGAGGCTGCCGTGGGTGGTAGGGGAACACCTCACCTAACAGGAAGTGGAAAGCAAGGCCTCACCAAGGAGAGGCGATGTTTGCATCAGGTCTCGAAAAAATAAATGCCGGCCAGGTAGATCAAAGCAGGAAGGCATGTAAGGTTTTTAAGTTATAGGAATTAGACTTGCATTTAAAAGACTTTGTTAAACTTTTGAAGTATCAGTTTCCTTATCTGCTAGAAAGGAAATATTCACTGTGTAGTATTTATAGTTAAATTAGTTGCTTATCTGTGTTTTAGTGATTCACTTTTTCTGGCGACAGAGGAATAGACTAAGTGAATCTTCCAGAGGCTCCCAGACTCTGGTTCTTTGCCTTGATAACTTGAGAAGCATGAAAAATTATAGCATTGTTAAATCACTGAGATTATATTTAATACTCTAGAGAAGAAACTAATAACTTTTGTAGCATTGAGATGATACCATACAACCTACAAAAATTCCCTTGTCATGTATCATTATTAAGAAGACTGAAAGGCTTCAAAATAGACCTTATTTGGTAATTTTTAGGATCTCAGAGATTTCATTAGCAATATCACTGAAATAAAATGAAGGTAGAATTTTCAGAATCCAGCTCATTGGCAGTTAGAAAAGGGTTGACTTGTTCTCCGACTTTGCATTGCTGCAACTCTGAGGCTGTATTTAAAACATTGGTATCAAGGTCGGAAATGAGTCGAAGTTGATGCTCCTCTTGGGGTTAAAGGTCTGTTTCTTTCAATCAGTTCAAACTGACAGGCCTCCTGCCATCACTCCTCCTTAGCCAGGCAGACAGGCCCGGCTGTCAGTGTGAAAACATCTGTTGAATGGATTTATTGACCGGACCTTGTTTTTTCCTCTCCCTTTCTCTATTTTTTTTTTCTTTTTCCTTCACACCGTTTATTATGTCGCTGACCTGATGAACTTAATTTGTTGACATGTCGCTCTCAGTGTCTCCCTCAATGCTTGTCTCACATTTCTTTCTACTGTGCTTTTTCTCTTGGCAACAGCCCTTCCTGGACCCCCAGCACACGCATGCGCTCTCGGTGCGCCAAGCTCAGCTGGCCGTGGTTGGCGTGGATGGATTAGAGAAACATCATCATGTCTCCAGGACTCATTCCTCCCCTGCTGCCTCCGTTTTACCTCACCCAGCAATGGACCGCCCCCTTCAGCCAGGCTCTGCAACTGGTAGGAATCCCTAAAGGCCCTCCCTAATAGGCACGCTAAATGTACCGTTCCTGTAGGATTAACCGATTTAAATGCTCCGAATAACTCCACTAGCAGAACGCTCAATTTTAACCCAATGCAACCTACATTTTATGAGGTTATATTGGCCACAAGACAAATAGCACATCTGATAAATCTTGGGCTTAGTATTAATAGCCTCATAAATTGTTATCATTCGGGGGCCTGGAAAACACATCAACAGGTGCATGGTCCCCTCTGGAAACAAAAATCCCTACAACATATTTTTAGCAGTGTTCCTCAATCTCTTCCCGCTAGTAGTCCTGGCCACTAGGAAATTTATGATGCTCAGCTACATTTGACTCTAAAGGCGGTCCCTCCCTCAGTTTGTGTTTCTTGTTTGTTTTTTTAAAATTGTTTTAACTATCCATAGAAATGACTCACAACACACAATGCCAAGCAAACTGAACTTAATTCTACGTAGCTAGTTCTGTTTCCGTTTATTATCGCACCTCTGGGTGGGCTATGTAACCAACCTGTTCCTTTGCCTACAGCTGTGTTTGATATTTCAGAATCTAGCTACACAGGAAAACAAACCAGATAACTCCGATGTCAGAGGAAGGTCAAGTCTGGAGCACACACACAAAAAGGGGTGTCATTCCCTCAACAGAGGAACTGTGCTGTGTTCCTTTCTATTTGTTGGACCCCATTTTTTCCAGGCTCTCAACTGTGGCTGATCGAATAAGATATTGCAGCCCTGAGGGACTCAGGGCGTGGATGCAGCCAGAGGAGAATTCATATGTACCTTCCCCTAGAGGCTCTCAGAGGTTATCTGATTTATTTTTTGAAGCCTTTTTTGGAATTCAAAGTTTCTTTTTATGGCTTCTGTGACCTCATGCAACCCCTTTGTGCTTGGAAAAGTTAAAGTACTTTTTTCTGAAATCACATTACCAAGTCTTGATATCATCTTTTATTTGAAAATCAATGAATGAAATGGGTGAGTTATTTAACTTTGACAGACATCTTTAAAAGTGCATATAGGAGCTACTTTTTATAATGTGCTAGACCACAAGCCAGCATTCCATAGTAAGAGCACAGGCTGGGTATGTTTGGATTTATTTCTTTTACCACATTAGCCACTGCCCCTGATTCCTTTATTTCTTGGAGCAGAGCGGACCTGCCCCAGCGTCCCAAATGGACCAAGACTGCAATGCAGTGTGAGTGGCAGCCACTTGGATCAGTCACGCCTGGTTCTATCCCTGGTCTTCAGAGAGTTTTTGTTCAAAGCCAAATATGTGATGTAGAGGAATGCTTTCTGCAGGAACACTTTTGAGCATGGCCTTTCAGAGTTAAATACTGGTACTTCCCATTTCTTTTCCTGAAAGTGATTTTTATCTAGCTTTTTAGAGGACACAGAGTCATAACCATCCTATCCTAATGCCAATTCCATTCACTCAAAATCATTTCCTTATTTTAAAAGTGAGCTGAACTATAAATTTTTGTAGTGTCATTCCCATGTACTCATTGTCTACTGCTGTCTACTGTTACAATTCTGACCATAGGGTTTCTTTTCTCAGTTAAGAGTAGTGGCTTCTGATGCTTTGGTCTCCTTATTTTTTATATGTTCCTTCAATATGGATGGAGAAAGATCTCTGAATATTAAAATGATCCTAGAAGTCTGAGAAAACAGTATTGCCAAATGGACAGTCTTTAGACCTTAGCAAGGGTGTCAAACTCATTTTCACTGGGGGCCACATCAGCCTCGTGGTTGCAGTCAAGGAGCTGGATGTCATTTTTGAACTGTATAAATGTAACTGCTCCTTAACCAGGGGCAAGTAGGTCAGTGCTGCCACCCGGTAGAAACAAGGTGCCAGGCCAGATAAAACAAGGTGGAGGGCCAGATTGGGCCTGTATAGGCCTTGTGTTCATCACCTGTGCCTTAGAGGATTCCAGGTGAAAGAGTGTACTAGTAATATAACCATGACCTAAACATCACCTAATCATTCAGTGTAAGGACTGATCATTTCAGATCCTTAGTTTCTTTTTCCTAATGTCAGCATCTTAGTATTTATCAGAATAATATTTATACTGCAAATAAAAGCAGGGAAATAACTTAATGAGGCATATTTCTTGCTTAATAAGAAACTTTATAAATCTATACTTTAAAAACACAGGATTATGTGCTTAGTAGGCATGCAATAAATTCTAGTTGAATCATTGACTAATTTGTATAGCACGTATATAACATACAGATATAAACAGTTATGAATTTACTAGTTCAAATCCAAAAACTCTGAAAATAAAAGTTACTTTTTAACTATTGTTCTGATTAGAGAATAGCTTATTTCAAGGTTATATAATGTAGTAGAGAAAAATCTGGCTATTGTCTTATTTGACCTTAAAAATGTCACATGCTAACACTTGAATTCTAAAAGTGAAAAGGCTCGGTAATTTTTAATAAAAAATCATTCAGCCCTGGCTGCTGCGGAGCCATGGTTGGAGTGTTTTTCCATAACTGAAGGATCTCGGATTCAATTCCTGGTGGGGGCACATTCCTAGGTAGTAGGTTCATCCCTGATTTGAGCTTGGGCACATGCAACCCCCGATCCAGATGTGTATTATACTCGGACCACCAAGCAGATACCCAGTCTGGGTGCATACGAAGGCGGCCAATCGATGCTCCTCTCACATTGGTGTTTCTGTCTCTCCCTTCCTCTTTCTTTCTCAAAAAGCAAATGAAAATGCCCTCAGGTGAGGATATAAATAAATAAACAAACAAACAAACAAACTACAAAGTGTATAATATATATATCCATATATATATATATGTATATCTGTCTTTCCAGAAGGCATTTAGCCATGAACTATGAAAAATAAATACTTTTATTGAAGAGGATACAACATACAAGAAGCACTGCACACAGGACAACGATGCCTCAGTCTCCTTCAAAGTAGGCATCTCAGGACCTCAACAGTCCTCCCAGTCACCATCAGCTGGCTCATCTTATTTTTCTGAATCTCATTGATAGTCTGAAATCTCTTTTCTTTCAAAGGTGATTTTAGTTTTGGGAAAAGCCAGAAGTCTCATGGTGCCAAATCTGGGCTGTAGGGGGTCTGAGTCACCTGAGTGATCTGATGTTCCACCAAAAATCTTGGCACAAGACATGATGCACGAGCAGGCATGTTTTTGTGATGAAACTGCCTATCACAGTTGCCCATAGCTGCAGCCTTCTGAATCATCCAAATAGAAGACTCTGTGGAGGAATGTTAAAGCTTAACACAAAATTTGATGCATATTTGCACTCTTCTCAGACATTTTGAGTGGGACAGCTACACAGTACACATGCTCACTCAATGGTGTCTACCACCCCCCCAACTAGTACAGTGAAGTCGTCATTGTTCACACATGTGCATTCCAGTCCACTCTCCTTGGCTGCCAGGTTACATGGATGTCGTGCAGACCATTCTTGTTATAGTAATAATGGCTGGACTTTTTCTGGACAGAATATATAAAAATATAAGTTTATATATTTTAATATATAATATATGTTATATATTATATGTTTATTATACATGTGTGTATATTATGTATATTATACATAATATATGTATATTATACATGTATATGTGTATTATACATATAATATACACATGTATATTATACATATAATATGTAATATGTATATTATAATATATGTGTTTATTATGTTTGCATATAAAATATAATTTTATATATAAAATATATTTATATATTTTAATACATATTAATATTTATATATTTTAATATATAATACATTTATATATAAACATAAAATATATGTTTATATTAAGATATATATGTTTATGTATATGTTTATATTAAGATATAACATATTAAGATATATTAAGATGTTTATATTAAGATATATTATATCTTAATATAAACATATATGTTTATATATATGTTTATAAGTACTTTTACTTAGTACTTTCCCAAATATATATAAAGTATATAAAAATATTTTTATACATATGATACATGTATAAAAAACTTTTATTTGTACTTTTCCAAATCCAAAGAAAATGAAATGCACAGTTTTCACTCCCTCACATATTTTTTGGCTTTAATCCAAACTTATAATTTCCCCTATAGTCTTCAGACTCTTATAATCCACATGATCTCAAAATTTATTTCAGTGTTTCTATTGATCTTGATTTTAGAGATGAACTCTTAAGGCTTTCATTTGTAGTACTTTATTTATTTTTTTTTAAGATTTTATTTATTTATCTTTAGAAGGGAAGGGAAGGAGAGAGGGAGAGAAACATCAATGTATGGTTGCCTTTTGTGTGTCCCCTGCTGGGAACTGGCCTGTAACCCAGGCATGTGCCCTGACTGGGAATCGAACCGCGATTGTCTGGTTCGCAGGCCCGCGCTCAATCCACTGAGCTACACCAGCCAGGGCCTCATTTGTAGTACTTTTGAAAACAAATGTTTTTCAGCATTAAGCTCCTTTCTTTTGACTCTTTAATATCTATTTGTTGTACATCCACTTAAAAAATCAAAAGTGACATTCAGTCATGTTCATTGGGAATATTTAAGATATTTATCAGAAAAAATTGATACAGTCTCACACACTCAATAGTTGTTACACTAAAAAGTAAGGAAGAGAAAGTGTTGCAAAGGCATTTGCTTAAATCTATACTGTAAGAGCTATACTTTTTGATACAACTAAAAATTATTTAACACTAAACTCACATACTTTTCTTTTTATGTATATTTTATTGATTATTCTATTGCAATTGTCTCATTTTATTCTCGCCCCCTGCCCTGTACCTCCCTAGAATTCACCCCTCAGTTCATGTCCCTGGGTTGTACATATGAGTTCTTTGGCTTCTCCATTTCCTATACTGTTCTTAACCTTCCTCTGTCCATTTTGTGCCTATCAATTATGCTTCTTATTCCCTGTACCTTTTTCCCCAACCTCCCCTCTTCCTTCCCCATTGATAACCCTCCATGTGATCTC